GTTCGTTGATCGTTTCTAGTAGTAATTAATGTCAGAACGTTAACTAATCGTCACTTAGCAACCCTCCAACATTAATATAGAATAAGATTAAGGGAAGAATTATTAATCAAGAGAAGAAGTTGATAAAATAACTCACAACTTTTATAATCAACAAGCTTCAAGAGCAAAACTAAGAAATGGAAGTTTAGCTCCTCATTTGGAGACTAAACATGCTAGAAAAATATAAAGAAGAGAAAAGAGTCAAATAGGTCCCTGTACTTTAACAAAAAAGTCAATTGGATCCTTAAACAATTTGCCGCCTCAATTAAGTCGCCTAAGTTTGAAAAATTAACCAAACAGGTCATTTAAACGGTTAGCATCCGGTTAACCGGTTCCTTGTTGACTTGAATGTATACGTGTCATTATTTTAATGAAAATTATTATTTTTACCTATTTGTTAAAATGATATATGTCCTTCGAAACATGTAAAAAAAATTAAAAACAAAGACCTTTGTCATCGTTCAAAACCTTCTTGGCAACGCAGCTTCATTTCAGCCCTAGATATGCAAATGGTGTGAGACACGCTCCATCCTTCTGAAGTTTGTTACGTAATCTGAAGTTTAACGTGAATCGGAACTCCATGTAAGTGTTGAATGTATTAGGTTATACTTTATTAGGTTTCAGTTTTGGGGTCTTTCATGGTTTACCCGCCGTTTAATATTCACTACATGAACATCCAGATGGTTATGTATGTTAATACACAACGTTTCTGGTTCTTTGTGCTTAATTTTAGTTGCCATGAACTTGTAATTCATTTGAGCCTCTGAATTGAAGCATGGTCTTTTAATGTGTACAGAATGTTTGATAAAGTGGAACTCATAATACATCATGGAGGGAACTTTGTTACCATTCCTGAAACTAAATACATAGGTGGTGCAGTGGAATGCATTCACATTGATCCCGACTTGATATCCTATCCACACTTAATGAGGGATTTAAAAAGTGGGAGCTATGGTAATATTACAGGGTTGTACTTCAAAAGACCTATTGAATCTATGGACATGCTTCAGGTATTGCACAATGATGAATCAACTCTTCACTTGATAAATATAGCCTCAACTTGTGGGAAGTGTGACATATATGTGGAGCATGGTTTGGATGAGGTTGAATTGGTTCTTCCTTTACCTCCCCCAACTGAAGTAGTAGCTGATGTTGTTGAAGAATCTGAGGTGAATACAAAGGACACACAGGGTGATGCCCCTTCTCCAACTGATATAGTGGGTGATAGAGGTTGTGACAGTGAAGTACAGGTAGAATCAGTTTCTGAAACCGAACTTCAAGGTCAGCCACAATCAGAAAGTGAGGCAGAGAGTGAGGCAGAGGGTGAGGGAGAGGGTGAGGCAGACTCAGAGGAAGAAATCTTTAATGAAGTCCATGTTCACTCACATGATAGTGGTACACAGACAAAAGCAAATGAAGGAGAGGGTACAAATGGTAAGGAAAACAGTGATGAGGAGGCAGACAGTGTAGAGTATGATTCATCCAATCCTCCAAGCTACATTGGTGAGGAAGATGCAGATGATGGTAGTTCTAGCCGCCCAAAGATCACCAATGTTTCTTACAATCCGGACTCTGATCCTCCCCTTATTGAGTTGGCTATGCTATTTGAAGATTCTAGACAATTCAAGAATGCTATTATCAAATATGCAGTGGTTAACAAGAAGGATTTACATTTTGTTAAGAATGATTCTATGAGAGTTAGAGTTGAATGTGCTTTAAAATGCCCTTATCTTTGCTATGCTAGTTGGGAAGATAACCTTAAGTGTTTCCAAGTGAAAGTTCTAGAGTCTAAACATAAATGCAACTCCAAGTTTAAGCTGAGAATAGTGAGCCAAAAATGGATAGTTGACACATTTGAGGATAAGGTAGTTGAAAATCCTACCATGGGTGGAGTAGACTTGAAGAAACTAGTTAAAGCTGAAATGAAAATACATATTTCTACTAGTATGGCCACAAGGGCTGTGCGTGATATACATAAGAAAAGCCAGATAGATTTTAAACACCAATTTAAGAAATTGAGAAATTATGCTGAGGAGTGTTTAAGGTCTATTCCAGATTCCACTGTGATCATTCACACTGTCAGAGTTGTACCTGAAGCACCTGCAATTTTTCAAAGAATATATATGTGTTTTGGACCGGTCAAACATGGTTTTATGGAAGGTTGCAGGAAGATCATAGGATTGGATGGGTGTTTTTTAAAAGGACAGTTAAAGGGTGAGATTCTTACTGCTGTTGGTAGGGACGGGAATAACCAAATGTACCCAATCGTTTGGGCTGTTGTTGAGATAGAGAACAACTCATCCTGGTCATGGTTTTTAAGCCTCTTAAAGGCAGATTTGCAAATCACTAATCCACATATGTGGACTATAATTAGTGATCAACAAAAGGTGTGTAACTGTGTTTCTGCCTTTCCCTATATTATTATTCATAAATTGCTATTTAACATCATGTATCATTTATGAAAATATCACAGGGTCTGTCAAATGTCATTGCCAATATCCTTCCAGATTCTGAGCACAGAAATTGTGCTAGACACATACACGCCAACTGGAGCAAATTACACAGAGGATTGGTGTTGAGGAACCTGTTTTGGAAGTGTGCTAAGTCAACATGTGAACCACAACTCCAGGCTGCATTAGCTGAACTAGACAAGATAAATCCTGAGGCTGGAAAGGATTTGCGCAAATACGCTTTCAACTTATGGTGCAAGGCATATTTCAGAACTCAAGTGAAGTGTGACACCGTAGATAACAACCTATCTGAGGCTTTCAACAGCACCTTATTACAATGCAGAAGCAAGGCACTGATTCCTATGCTGGAGGATATTAGGGTAGCTACAATGAAAAGAATTGCAAAGAAGAGAAAATATGTTCAAAGGTGGCCAGGTATATGTGTCTGTATTTGCTATGGACTGATCTGACTATGATAATTCTTTAGTTTTGAGTATATGTACTGACTATGTATTTTATATTAGTATATGTGGACTTATGAACCTATATGAATCATAAAATGTGTGTATTATATGAAAATATGAACTGAGTATATGTATTTTCTATAAGTATATGTTGACGTATGAACCTATATGAATCAGAAAGAGTGTGGTACTTTATGAGTATATGAACTGAGCATATATGAAGTGTGTATGACTTATGAAGTGGGTATATGAACCTATAAGTATATGAATTGGGTATATGACTTATGAAGTGGGTATGTTGTACTTCTTCAGTCATATATGCAAACATGCAGTATATGTTGAGTTATGAACCTACATGTTATGAATTATGTATGTTGTACATATATGGTCTATTTCTTGAGTGCTTCAGAACCCACCTGTGTATATGTTCACTTATGCATCCATCCATTTCAGGAAATTATGGTCCTATCATATTGAAAAAGCTAAATAGAAATATTTCAGCAAGTGAAGATTGGCAAGTGGACTTCAATGGGGATGATGGTTATGAAATCAAAAAAGGAAGACAACAATTCAAAGTCAGCCTAAATGGTAGAACCTGTTCTTGCAGGCGATGGGATCTCTCTGGAATCCCTTGTGCACATGCCATTTGTGCAATATTTGATAAAGGAGAGGATCCGGAGCACTATGTAGACAATTGTTACTCCAAAGAGCTGTATCAAAGGACTTATTCATATACCCTCCAACCTATTAATGGTGAGTTATTATGGCCTGCCACAGAGTTTGAAGAGATAATGCCTCCCTTACCCAAGAAGATGACTGGCAGGCCCAAGAAGAGGAGGATAAGAGAAGAAAGTGAACCACCAAGGAGTGGTACCCGATTAAGCAGAAAAGGTAGAATAATGAAGTGCTCCATTTGTAACGGAGAAGGACACAACAAAGCTTCTTGTGCTAACAGACTGAATAAGGAACCATCTGCATCTCCATCTGAAACAGGAGGAACAAATATAAGGGGTAAAGGGAAAAGAAGATCATCTGCATCTGCATCTGAAGCTGGTAATGCAGTCCCTGAAGGTGGAATACCACAGACTGAACAAGGAGCCAGAGGGGGGAGGGGAAGAGGCCAAACAGCTCTTAGAGGAAGATCCTCTGCACCTGAAGGTCGTGGCACAAGTCAACCTAGAGGAAGGAGAGGAAGGAGTAAGAAGTCTAGATCTGAGAGGGGATTTGGGGTATTTTTCAATGCTAGCACTGGTGAAACTATTGTAGATGTAAGTGAAGTGTGTTGTATGTGAGTCATATAAATATATATGTTTGAAATCTAATTTTATTTACCTCATGGCAGCCTGGACAAGCAAGTGAAGTGGTCATTGGTGAAGGATCCAGATGAAGGGGGAAAGAGATGAAGTTCCAGATTTACAAGTGTTTTGTTTTTGCTTTTGTTGTGAATTTTGAGCTGCTATGAAGTGAAATGGTCATTGGAGGAGGATCTAGATGAAGGGGAAGAGATGAAGTTCAAGATTTAGAAGTTTTTTTTTGTTTTGTTTTGTAGTACATAAAGGCAAGTGCTGTAAAATGTAGGTGGTACACCTACTGTTTTTGTTTTTTATCTCTAGAACTTGTGGCTAGTATGGCACTTTTGTGGCCCTCAAAGTAAACACTGATTGGCCTTGTGCGGCCCTACTACTGTTATGCATTTTGCTGTACATTTGGTGGAATTATTGTTACTGAAAAACCTCCAATGAACATGTCAATTTATGGTTTTTAGTTTGAACTATGTCAATAATGTTGGTACTAACTTCAGCCTTATACTACACACTGACTTAAGCCTTATACTACTGGTTTTTTGTTGGTGCTGAGTCCAGCCTTGATACTGAACATGTCAACAGTCTTATTCATTTTTATATTATTAACTTGGTTCATTTCACTTGATCTGTTACCATGTTTCTGCATACTACACATATTCTTTTTCTTTAATAGCACAACCACTACACATATTCATTCTTTAATAGCACAACTACTTTACAAAAAGAACACACATGTGATGACTGAAAAAGTAGGCCAAGCAATCAATTCTTACACACACTTTATTAAAGGAGTCAAGGATAGTACAACACAAGTTCAAGGCCATCACTCATTGTTTATTACACTAATGCATTCCAACCGAGTCTTACACAGCAGTACAAAATGCAGACCAAGCTTCCTAAGTACTACAATTATAGTCTACTCAAAGTATTACATTTGAAGCTGATTACAGTAAACCATGGTAAGGAAACCCAGAACTGCAATAACAGCAACTCCAACCACTTTTCTAAACTTTTTAGCATCCTTCGCTTCAGTTTCAACAACCTCCTGAAGACATTCAATTTTTCCTTGTACTCCGCTTAACTGGTCAGCTAGCTTGGAGATCATGCTCTTTCCTTCAAACATATCTTGATTCACTTCTTCACCATGAACTGCATATCTACTTTCCAGAGAATCTTTCCACACAAAATATCCACATCCAACCTGGAATGCAATGTCACTAATTATATAGGTTCATTGAAATGATAAGAGTATCCTAATGTTCAACTATATACTGAAAACTTTACACAAAATTTTAGCAATTTCAGAAAGAATTACCTTCCATTTTTGGCAGCCGTAGAATGTTCTCCCACTCTCCCGAGCTACGCACAAGGGGGCCTTCAAAGCACAATAACAGTACACCGCCGGCTCATAATCAAGAGTAATGGTTCGTCCTTTTCTGGCAGGTGATGAAGATGCAGATGACATTTTGATTCGCAGTAGAAGAAGATGAAATGGACGATCGAGTAATTAGGGTTGGGGATGCGGCTGGCTAATCTACGTTAGGTTGGCTGAGAAGGAAATATATAAGAAATATATCATATTAACAAATAGGTAAAAATAATAATTTTCATTAAAATAATGACATGTATACATCCAAGTCAACAAGGAACCGGCTAACCGGATGCTAACCGTTTAAATGACCTATTTGGTTAATTTTTCAAACTTAGGGGACTTAATTGAGGCGGCAAATTGTTTAAGGACCCAATTGACTTTTTTGTTAAAGTACAGGGACCTATTTGACTCTTTTCTCTATAAAGAAATGCTATTCTAAACTGAGCTTATAAGTGTATAGGAATTGGTATCTAATTGTGAAGGAAAGGGGGTGTATTTATAGGCTTTTGGAGATGCAGCTCGGGTACCCGATCGAGTACACATAGGGTACCCAATCGGGTATTTGTAAAACCTCAGATTCGAGGTATACTCGATCGATTTCAGGGTAGAAATAAAAGGCATACCCGATCGGGTGTGTCGGTGTACCCGATCGGGTATGACAATCGATCGTGGCCAAATCTTTCCCTGCACATCCCTTTGTTTCCTGAATTGATCTGATTTCGAATCAAGTTGGTACCCGATCGGGTAAAGGGTATACCCGACCGGGTACAGGCCAAAATCAGGGTTATTCTTCTTTTGTCTTGTACTCTTGTACCTTCCTTCCTCTTTTGGGTTCATCAAAGATCATTTGATTGATCTTGCACCTGTTTGAGCCCAGAATAGACCTAATCTAAGCATATTACAACTATTTTACAAACATAACTATTACACCAAAAGCGTGTAATTTCCGAAATATTAAACAACCAAAACTAGCTAAAAACATAAACATACACACGGAAATTACTAGTGTATCACCATGAGAGAGGGATACCGGAAAGCACACTTGATGGTCAAAAATGACCGGAGAAGTGAAAGTTAACGCGTCTAAACTCTCCATTAGTCACGTTCAACATCCCCTTCTCCAGATTTTCCTAAAGTTTTTGTGTAATTCTTTGCTCGGCCGCCCCAACAATCACCATACTCGGATGGGGGACGTGGCCGTACTCATTCTAGCCCTCTTTGAGAGAGCCACAGCATATAACCTTTGTAATATAATGTGGGATTGTAACACCCCCAAATTTCCCACCCAAAAATAATACTTTATTCAAAACAAATATTAACTTTATTCGAAAACATCAGAGTTATGCAGCGGAAAACCAAAAGGGAAATAGGGGTGTTACCGCCACACTCGATTCTCCCTTAACCGAGTGCACAGGCTAAAACAACTTAAAATATATAAGCAATTATTTACTAAGTAAAGATGTTGAAAATGAATTAAAATTACAATAATTTACTAATTTACTAATTATGTTTTCTAGCGGAAGCTCTCTCGAAATCAACTTCAACAGGATCAACTCAGCACCTGTACAAATAAAGTACAGAAAGAAAAAAAAAACAAAAGAAAACAAAAATTAGCAACAATGCTAAGTAAGTTCCACCTAACCCTATAAAATAATATAATTTCATATTTTTGAAAACAAAAGCATTTAGGAGGAAAAATTTTTTTAAAACAATTTATAAAATCTTCTCATAGCATAATTCACTAGTAAAATAATAGTATTATTTCAAATATAAGTAAGTATTTACATAAAACCACAATAATTACAAAAATACCAAATATACATAAAACCACCAAAAATCATTACAATAATTTCAAAGCATAAATCAAACATCAATTATTCACCTCAAATCTCAAAATACTTATAAATAATTATAAACGATATTCAACATAATCAACCCGAATCAAATCCAAAAGTACTTATACTCTAATAATTTCAAAAATAATTTAATAATTCAATCCAACTCAAATTCAATCCAAAGATAATCCAATCCAATCTCAATCAATCCAAGAATTCAATTTCAATACAAGTCCAATCCAACCAAATAATATTCACCTCAAGTCCAAATCAAGTCAATCAAATAATCTCAATCACCTCGATCCAATCAAAGTCCAGATCACCTCAAACCCAATTAAAACCAGTGGAAGCCGAACTCCTACCTTAAGTGTGCACACCCCCTAAAAGGGATTCCAAGCCCTCCGGGAAGTAAGAAGCCCGAGTAGTCGGGATTTTTCTACCAACTACACTACAATTAAGCTGGGATACTCCGCTTTTGGGAAGTACCCCTGGTGGATTTAGACTTATAGCCATTACCACTCACCAATACCACATTTATCCGGATGTGGCAAACCGACACCACGGATTTCTCCGGGTGCTCACCAAAAATCACAATTCATTCTCAAAGTTCCAAACCAATATCACAACCTCAACCAAAACGGATATGAAATCCCAAGTCCACATAATAATCCACAATGTAAAATATCAACTCCAACAAATTACACTCAAATGTATCATACATTAAAATTTCACGAAAGAGCCAAAATATAGAATACTTCATAAATAGTTCAGATCTCAAATATAACCCAAACAACATTTCATATGATAACTCAAATACTCGAAAATATCATCCAATATCCAATACTGAAATCTCAAATATAATTCTCAATAACAATCCATAAATAATTCCAAATACTCAAATATGAAGTATAAATTGTAAATGCTAGAAATCTCACCAGGTACTCAAATAAAATCAAATGAATAATCATAAATAGATTCACGAAGCAAAAGGTATAATTTCGGTTGATGTGAAACTTACCTCAACCTCCAAGTACTCCTAGTGAAATTCTTCTACATTGCTCATCATTCAATTCACCTTCTAACAATATTAAAATTCTAGTATCAATATCGATATCAACTTACAGTTAAATTCATTTACCCTTTATTTATATACTACGTATAAGTTGCCCCTCTTATGATTCTCTTATTTCACAAATTATCAATCTATATATATAATAGTCCATATATAATTTATTAATATTATTTTATTGTTATTATAATGATTTGGACGATCCAAATCAGCCATTCATTTTGGAGCAGCAGTCTCATAATCGGCCAGCAACAAATTATAATTAGGTCAAGGTTTTGTTATCAACTAAAGTCAATTAACTTTCCTTATTGTTATTTTCGGCCCAACAGATTAAATTACACAGCCAACAATATCATGCAGGAATGTGGCCCAGAACATAAACAAATACGGAGTAAAACGCAGAGTACGTAAAGTTACGTACATTTCGTCGTCGTCTTCATCGTCAACTCCAGGCCATTGAACGGTTCTTCTCAGACGGCGACCGTATCAGCCGGGCAGATCGTGGGTTCTCTCTTTGGAAGTAGCAGCGGCAGCGACAGACGACTTCGGCTCCTTCTAGCAGCGGGTGACGGCGGCAATCAGTAGCCCCTCGACGCCGACGAAGGTGGCAGTGGTCCAGATGATTTATGGTGGATCCAGACAGTCCGACGCAAGCTCCTTTTCCGGTGATGAAGGCATGCAGCGGCGTTTGCTTTTCTCCGCCGTAGAAACAGACTGGCACACCGGCAGTGTTGCACCGGAAATTCTTCTTCTTCTAGCGACGCTGGCAGCGAACGATCCAATACCACCGTAGATTGGTAGCGACTCAGGCTGGCGAAGGTTGTTCCTTTCTCTTCTGCGGCGAGTGTGTCTTCCTACGCAGGCCTTCAATCGTAGCTCCGTATATATATATAGGCGTGATGGACTAGACTCTAGGGTTTCACGCATAGAATGGTTTCGGCCGTTTCCATATACGGAGTAATGCGTACCAAATACGTAGTACATACCATGTGTTAGCATAGTTTGAAAAGTCATCTCTTAATATATTACTATATTAGTAATAGTAATAATTGCGGAGCAGTAATTAGTATTATTATGTATACTTATGTTGGTGCGTGTGTTTTAATGTATAAATATGAAACGGATCCACCCCATAACATCTGTTGTATAATTGGCACTCCTAAAGATGTCACGATTTAAGTTAAAATTTTATGTGACCGAAAATGTGAGTTTGTCAATTGTTAAAATTTCATCTAATCAACGAAATTATCTATTATTTTGTTTAAATTTTCGGGGTATCACATTCTACCCCCCTTAAAAAGATGCTTCGTCCCCGAAGCACTTAACTTACTCAAAATTAGTACTCCTTCCATGTGGTATCTTCTATAGCGCCCTTCATCGCTATCTAGAGTGTTTGCTTCTGGAGTTGTTGCACTAAGTAGCTGTTGGAAGCTTTTTCGTAGGCCTCGTATAGAGTTTGGCATCCTAAAACACGAATAGTCTCGATCGAAATTCAAATCGCTTACGAACTTTCTAGATTTACTAACTCCCTCGGGAACCAACACATATGCATATCGTGCAGCTCCAATTTGACGTAGTGCTCTTGGACGTTCATAATCACTTGCTTCAGGTGTAAGAGTTTCTCGTACTTCGTAGCTTTCACGTTGTCTAAATAGAATCATTCTCGCATGGCCTCTATAAACGTCTCCCAAAGAAAGTGAGGTTGTTGACGCAGCACTTGTTCAGTTGTAGCCCACAGGCTAAGTTGTCGGCCTCTTGACGTAGGTAGTATGCAGAAGTATTAACGCATTAACCCGCAGGATGACGATTTATAACCTGGAAAAGTTTGACAAAAGTGAGAATCCAATCCTCGAGGATAAGAGGATCTTCCGAACCTACATATCTCGATTACGTCCCTCTACGCTTCTTGTTACATCATTACGGTTGTGAGACAATGTTAGTGTCGATTTTGAAGTAGCACGTTTCCGATCGTCTGGGTAAGTTAAGATTGCCCCAAACCCACCAATTCCACGTTCTTTAGTGCGGCGTCATTGTCTTCCATGTTGTCCTTCATATACGTCATTGTCTTCTAAGAAATCTATCGAGTATTATTCGTAATTATACTACCTTAGCAAACACATAATGTATAATTCCTCCATAAGTCCAAAGTATTCTTTAAATAAGTCAGTAAGGGTATATTCAAAAATATCTCAAATAATTCAAAAGAATCACATAGTCAACCAAAACCAAAAATCAAAATCTCACAATCTCACCGCGGCCTAAATTTTCATATTTCACTCCTAAAAAAAAATCCTACTTATTCCCTGATCATCTATTCTCTTAATATTTTAGAAAAAAAATTTAAAAACTTCCTTGAAAATATTTGAAAACCTTTATAATTTATTTTTTTGAAAACTTTTAACAAAATAATAAAAATATTTCAAAACCCCTTTGTGAAAACCAACCTGGCTCTGATACCAACTTGTTGGTATCACTTAATAAAATTTATTAAACATGGGAAAAATTTAAAAAATTTGTTTAAAATACTTTTGGAAAAATGTTTTGGAAAATGTCCCGGAAAAAACCATTAGCTCTGATACCAACTTGTAACACCCCCAAATTTCCCACCCAAAAATAATACTTTATTCAAAAGAAATATTAACTTTATTCGAAAACATCAGAGTTATGCAGCGGAAAACCAAAAGGGAAATAGGGGTGTTACCGCCACACTCGATTCTCCCTTAACCGAGTGCACAGGCTAAAACAACTTAAAATATATAAGCAATTATTTACTAAGTAAAGATGTTGAAAATGAATTAAAATTACAATAATTTACTAATTTACTAATTATGTTTTCTAGCGGAAGCTCTCTCGAAATCAACTTCAACAGGATCAACTCAGCACCTGTACAAATAAAGTACAGAAAGAAAAAAAAAACAAAAGAAAACAAAAATTAGCAACAATGCTAAGTAAGTTCCACCTAACCCTATAAAATAATATAATTTCATATTTTTGAAAACAAAAGCATTTAGGAGGAAAAATTTTTTTAAAACAATTTATAAAATCTTCTCATAGCATAATTCACTAGTAAAATAATAGTATTATTTCAAATATAAGTAAGTATTTACATAAAACCACAATAATTACAAAAATACCAAATATACATAAAACCACCAAAAATCATTACAATAATTTCAAAGCATAAATCAAACATCAATTATTCACCTCAAATCTCAAAATACTTATAAATAATTATAAACGATATTCAACATAATCAACCCGAATCAAATCCAAAAGTACTTATACTCTAATAATTTCAAAAATAATTTAATAATTCAATCCAACTCAAATTCAATCCAAAGATAATCCAATCCAATCTCAATCAATCCAAGAATTCAATTTCAATACAAGTCCAATCCAACCAAATAATATTCACCTCAAGTCCAAATCAAGTCAATCAAATAATCTCAATCACCTCGATCCAATCAAAGTCCAGATCACCTCAAACCCAATTAAAACCAGTGGAAGCCGAACTCCTACCTTAAGTGTGCACACCCCCTAAAAGGGATTCCAAGCCCTCCGGGAAGTAAGAAGCCCGAGTAGTCGGGATTTTTCTACCAACTACACTACAATTAAGCTGGGATACTCCGCTTTTGGGAAGTACCCCTGGTGGATTTAGACTTATAGCCATTACCACTCACCAATACCACATTTATCCGGATGTGGCAAACCGACACCACGGATTTCTCCGGGTGCTCACCAAAAATCACAATTCATTCTCAAAGTTCCAAACCAATATCACAACCTCAACCAAAACGGATATGAAATCCCAAGTCCACATAATAATCCACAATGTAAAATATCAACTCCAACAAATTACACTCAAATGTATCATACATTAAAATTTCACGAAAGAGCCAAAATATAGAATACTTCATAAATAGTTCAGATCTCAAATATAACCCAAACAACATTTCATATGATAACTCAAATACTCGAAAATATCATCCAATATCCAATACTGAAATCTCAAATATAATTCTCAATAACAATCCATAAATAATTCCAAATACTCAAATATGAAGTATAAATTGTAAATGCTAGAAATCTCACCAGGTACTCAAATAAAATCAAATGAATAATCATAAATAGATTCACGAAGCAAAAGGTATAATTTCGGTTGATGTGAAACTTACCTCAACCTCCAAGTACTCCTAGTGAAATTCTTCTACATTGCTCATCATTCAATTCACCTTCTAACAATATTAAAATTCTAGTATCAATATCGATATCAACTTACAGTTAAATTCATTTACCCTTTATTTATATACTACGTATAAGTTGCCCCTCTTATGATTCTCTTATTTCACAAATTATCAATCTATATATATAATAGTCCATATATAATTTATTAATATTATTTTATTGTTATTATAATGATTTGGACGATCCAAATCAGCCATTCATTTTGGAGCAGCAGTCTCATAATCGGCCAGCAACAAATTATAATTAGGTCAAGGTTTTGTTATCAACTAAAGTCAATTAACTTTCCTTATTGTTATTTTCGGCCCAACAGATTAAATTACACAGCCAACAATATCATGCAGGAATGTGGCCCAGAACATAAACAAATACGGAGTAAAACGCAGAGTACGTAAAGTTACGTACATTTCGTCGTCGTCTTCATCGTCAACTCCAGGCCATTGAACGGTTCTTCTCAGACGGCGACCGTATCAGCCGGGCAGATCGTGGGTTCTCTCTTTGGAAGTAGCAGCGGCAGCGACAGACGACTTCGGCTCCTTCTAGCAGCGGGTGACGGCGGCAATCAGTAGCCCCTCGACGCCGACGAAGGTGGCAGTGGTCCAGATGATTTATGGTGGATCCAGACAGTCCGACGCAAGCTCCTTTTCCGGTGATGAAGGCATGCAGCGGCGTTTGCTTTTCTCCGCCGTAGAAACAGACTGGCACACCGGCAGTGTTGCACCGGAAATTCTTCTTCTTCTAGCGACGCTGGCAGCGAACGATCCAATACCACCGTAGATTGGTAGCGACTCAGGCTGGCGAAGGTTGTTCCTTTCTCTTCTGCGGCGAGTGTGTCTTCCTACGCAGGCCTTCAATCGTAGCTCCGTATATATATATAGGCGTGATGGACTAGACTCTAGGGTTTCACGCATAGAAT